TAAACTGTATATCATATTAAATGAACAGGATAAGTAATATTATAGAGTGTGTCACATCCCTACTTAATACATACTTTTTGTTGATTTGGTTTGATAAACTCTTACACTGAAGGTTTTTAAAAAAGAAGGAATCATCATTCTACATATTATAACTGATACTATTTTAGGGGTGAGATTACATGGGAAGCGAGAAACATTTAACAGCTGTGAATGAGCTCTGTTTAACAAGCCTCGCATATCCAAAGAAGTTCATTTCCCTTGCAGACAGATGAATCAGTATATTTGTACTGCTCATCCCACATGATCTGTGTTCGATATTAAACCTGTTGCTCAGGTTCACAATTGTTGGCATGTAAATTCAGGGTTCGACTAGAGGCCTTTTGAAAAAAATACATAAGGATTTGGATTGCCAGCATGCCCCGGAAGCTACTATGCTATTCTGTTTGTTTTCTCTGCAAATGTATTTTGCTGATTTTGCTCACATTGCATCAGGGATAACACTGAGTCAGCGTTCCTATTCGAGAGCATTGCCAGTATAATCAAACCTCTTTTTTCAGGAAAGGATCTTTATTAAAAAAAAAAAACCCTGAAACTTTCTGAAAACAAACAAATAAACAAGGGCAACCTTTTAAAGCGAAACAACCAAACAAATAACAAAACAATCCCATTAAGAGATAAATGACCACCAGACTGGCAATAGCTCAGTGGACTGTAAGTATATAGCTTTAATGTTTAACGTTTTAATGTTTTGTGCTTTTAATTATAGTAATTATTGGTGTTTTATATTTTACTATGCAGTATCAAACTGTTGCCAATTGGAAGCCATCCTGAGTCCCCCCAGGGGTTGAGAAGGGTGGGGTAAAAGTGTTCAAAATAAATAAATAAATGATTTATGGGACCATGCTTAAGTATAATTGCTTACTGTTTTGTCACTGAAATTGTTAAAATTAATTTGAGATTAGTAGGTGGTGTCAATAACTTGTTTCCCAGAGTGTAACAAGAAAATGTTAACACATTTGAGGGAGCACATCTTGCCTTTGAAAGGCAGTTGACATATGTCAATATTCATAGGTGGCACTTTAGAAGCCTCTGGTGGTGCAATGGGTTAAACCCTTGTGCCAGCAGGACTGCTGATCGAAAGGTCATCGGTTCGAATCTGAGGAGTGGGGTGGCACTTTAGGAGCCTCCGGTGGTGCAATGGATTAAACCCTTGTGCCGGCAGGACTGCTGACTGAAAGATCAGTGGTTCGAATCTAGGGAGTGGGATGAGCTCCAATCTGTCAGCTCCAGCTTCTCATGCAGGGACATGAGAGAAGTCTCTTACAGGATGATAAAACAGCCGGGTGTCCCCTGGGCAATGTCCTTGCAGACAACCCTCTCACACCAGAAGTGACTTGCAGTTTCTCAAGTCGCTCCTGATACCAACCCCCCCCCCAAAACAAGAAAAAAACAAAAAAATCCCCCACCTAACTAGCAAAAATCCTGTGTTGCTTCACCTTAGAGAAAAATGAAGCATTTAAAATACCTCAAATAACAATCCAACATTTTGCTTTTGTACCACTGTGTGCTATGCAGGTGTATTTGTCTATGTTTTTGTAATATTTCAGATGCTCCACAGAAGCAGAGACAGAGCTGCCTTTTCTCTCAATGCTACTGGATCTTCTTCAGATACAAGATAAACAAGAAGAGGCTTGTCAACATTTATATTTTCTGTGCTCTTCCAAGGCTTAAATATTCTAAAGGCAGGATTCTTCAGGTTTTGGCAGCTAAGCACTGTCAGGCCTTATTAATACTTAGGTGGGAAGCTGCCAATGGATGGTAGGTGCTGTAGACCACTACTTCTTCAAATGGGGTTCCCCTCAACGTTGGGGGTCATGAAAAAATTGGCAACAATTTCTGAACACCACCCATTTACACGCATCAGCATTCCATTTTTAGTATATGTGCTGTCAAAGCAGGCACACACAAATCTGTTAGCAACAACATGCAGTGTTTACAGTGAACTCTGCAAGACATGCTTCAGCTGTCCACAAAAAAAAGGAAAATCAACTTGCTTACCAAGGCTTGCAAATGCTGATTTGTTATCAGCAAATGTTTGATTTTATACCTGTTTTATATAGCCTATATATCTGGGGTCATGCAAAATAATTTCAGGCAGAAAGATGTCATAAGTGGAAAGTAAAAGAAGCCCTGCTGTAGACAATATTTCAGAGGAAGGAACTGGCTAAACCACTTCTGAGTATTTCTTGCCTAAAGAAACCCAGGGAAATGCATGGGGTCACCATAAGTTGACAGCAATTTGAAAACACACCCACACACATTTTCCTCTCACACTTTTTTGCTTTCATCTTGCTTTCATCTTGCTCACACTTCTGTCCCATTTCTCTATCTTTAGAGTACCTGCAAGTTTTCCTGTAATTCCTGTTGTCCTTGATCATTCATCACACTGCTTGAGGGTATTAAAAGCTGACAGCTATCATATAGAGGACATCAGGTTGGACAAGGTCTTGACTAGACCTGCACAACCTGTGACACTCCAGGTGTTTTGAATTTCAACTCCCAGAATTTTTGACCACTGGACAAACTGGCTAAGGCTTCTGGGAGTTGAAGTCCAAAAACATGGGGGACTAAAGACTGTGCAAACCTGGTCTAGACCCTTCCGCTTAGCCTTTGATTGACTCAGCCAATGATTGCTGAGCCCAATAGGCAGCCAACCAAGGCAGTAGCTACTTTATCATCACCAAATAAACTGTGGAAGAAGACTAAATGGCAGAAATAATTTGTCTATTGATATTTAGAACTATCTACTGAGATACAGTAATTTTACTAAAGTTTATAGAAAGTGTTGGTGTGAGCACAGGAAGAAGCAATGCATATACAGAAGTATTAGGTTGGAACAAAAAGTGGTTATGACTTTATTTATGACAGCTGAAGATTGCTGGCCAAGCATAAGCATAGACTCAACATTAGACATCTTGCCTGTTGCCTGAAGTATACTTCGCTTCCTTAATCTGGTTATCAAGGTATATCATGGAATAACAGTTGTGGGATCCATTGGTGCATACTCCACTGCGTGGTTCATTACTTCTGGAGAGTGAAATGTATCCAACAAACTGGGCTTACTCCCAGCCACCTGCACTCACAAGGGGACCCCTAGAAGGAACGAATTCTCTCCAAAACCAGTAACATGTCCCATGTCACACCTCCAAAGTTGTGACAATTACAACAATGATTTCTATAGCAAAATATTTTTACAACAAAACTGGGATTATGCCAAAATGATTTTTAAGTACAGTGAAGTGTATTAGAATAGGGAGGAAGGGTGGAATGGCAGTAAGAACCCAAATGTCAGAGGAGTATGGGGAGACCTGCATTTATACATGCAGGGTGGACCTGAATGGAGCTTGTTTATACATTCCTGCTTTGCTTCTCTCTAGTCTAAGATGACAATCGGATTAGATTGACACCAAGGACCCACAAAAACAGTGTGGGCTCAGCACAGGAGCCAGATGATAGAGAGAATTAAGGCAGTTCCCTTCTGCCCTGTGTCACACACAGCCCTGCAGAGTATCTGTACTGGTTATTCTGTGGTCCTAATTTTTCTTGTCTGGGCTTTCCTCTCTCTCTTTTTGTACATAGTTCCTTCTTATTAGTGATCACTGTGATGGCATGCCTGAGCCTATGGGAAAAACTATAGTGTCTGGCTTTACTCAGGAGCTATCTGTATACCTTCTGTTAAGATTAAGACCCTTAGCAGACAGAGGCACTTTAGGCAAGGTGAAAAGATAACCAGAATGAGTTTACTACAAACAAGATAAATAAAGGGTTAACTCCACCCGGGACTATCATAACGTAACGTAAAACAATACATTACAAAAGGTGGCTTTGCTGGCTGCAGTCATCTCTCTAGGGTGTTCTGCTTCTGATGGTTATAAACTGTCTCAATCTTCTTTCTTGTGAAGCATAAGCTGGCCATAAGCTTCTGTTGTCCTTTGGACTGCTGGTATAAGAATACTGCTGAATGCAGGTGCTAAGATGCTTGTTTTTTGATTGCTTGGGCCTAGGATACCAGACAATGCTTCAAGCCTCTAGTGACTGTAGAAAAAGGAGGAGTCCAGCAAGAGAGCTCTATATAGGCAAATGGAATAGACCAACTAACCCTGCTCTCTGGGGGGAGGGGGGATTTTAAGCTCCACCCAAAACTAATACAAAGGAAGGTATCTACACTATTGGAAAAACCTATAAACGGGGAACTAAAGCAGAGGAGAGGAAAAGGCAGAGCAAAGACTTCACAATCACACAAATGTAGAACCGTGATTTAATCAGCATCAAATTTTTAATTCCATTTCACACTGGACAGCAACTGAAAAGTGGAAAGGAATCTCTAGAATTTACATTCTATTTCTACAATGTTTATTGTTTTACAATTTCTAATTTCTGCATTCACCCCTTGTACAGTCTATACATGTCACAGTTGAAGATAAAGGAGGAAAAACATGTTAAACATATTTCATAAATATACTACCAATACCAGGCTGTTCAAAATCCAGATAAATTGAGTATCCCTTACGCAGATTTCTTGTGATTAGAAGTATTTTGGATTTCTATTTCTTTTTCTTATTTTGGATGTAATATCTTGGACATAGCACCAAAGTCTAAGCGGGAAACTAATGTATATGTCCTACACACACAAATATAATGTTATACACCATACTTTTAATAATTTTTAGTGCGAAACGAAAACAAAGCTGCCACTGTCTCATTGCTATGAGTACCCCACCGGGATACTCATAGGGATAGAAATGAAGTAAATAATAAATAAGCAATCCATCCATATAGATGATTTTGGGTTTTGGAGTATTTTGAAATTCTGGACAAGGATGTTCAACCTCTACTATATTTTGGAGTGACAATAATAAAATAAGCGTCTCCTTACTCAATACTATCTGCAATAAGGAATTTGTAATACACATGCACATATTGAATTCATATCAACTCACCACAGTTATGTCTTCTACTTTCTGGCTTTCATTTAGAGCCTCATATTCTGTTGCTTCTGTGAAGAAACACATTTTTTTTGGAATAAAAGTTTTCACTTGTGCACAATTATAAATTAGCAAAACAAACCCGTAAATAGAAACTTGTAGCACAAATTTAAAATAGCTAGAACAAATACTAACAGTGTGAATTCCAGTCTGGTGGGGTAACCTGGTTCCAAAACATCATATTGGCTCTGCCTGAACATGGGGGCTTTGGATTTATGTTTCTCAAATAACTGAAAAGCTTACTGTCAAACTAAGATGAGTTTCAAAACCAAAATAACAATTACTTTTATGCCATGGTAAGAATGATGACCTTTAAAATGGCTTAAGCTTTTAGAGAGTGCCAGAGAATTGAATGTTATCCAGAATCTATTTGTCATATATACATATGCTATAAACATACTAGATAATACAAATCGTTGGGTAGTGATTACATATCAGGTGTGTCCTTCCAGCTGTCACTGGATTCCAACTTCCAGCAAAAGTTTCTGAAGTCATGCAAAAGTTTCTGAAGTCATACAAAAGTTCCTGAAGTTGGATTGAAATTCTTAAAATCTGTACTTTCAAAGTGACTTCTGACACGTGGGCATGGCCCGCACCTAAAACTTAAGAATCAAAACCTACTCAATCCTTTTTCAATTGTATTTTGTATATCTTGGAAGGAGGGATCCCAAAAACAGCTTCATTTTCCTGGCAGGCAAGCAAAGCAAAGCCAAAAAGGCTCCCATTCCTCTGTAAATTAATGGTCTCCTGCCATTAGGAGAGGGAAAGCAGGGGGCAGTGTTTGCTGCGAAAGAAAGTGCAGAACTCTGGGAAATGTAGTTTGGGAAGGCGAGGAGCTCTATGGCAGAGAATACAGAAGGTCCTGCCATAAACTACATTACCCAAATTCTACTTGCATCAGAAAGCCTCAGTTGGAATAGGCGAGAGATTTGTCTCTCTAGCAGCAGCCAGCCAGCTAGCCAGCCAGCCAGAGTTCCAATTAATTGTTGAATCTGCAAAGAAGACTGAGACTGACTGATATATCTAGTAAGTAAATATCTGTGTTCTGCTGTGTCCCTTCCGTCTCAATAGGGGAAGCATATCAATGAGTTTAGAGGCCAGATGGCCATCTGTTAGGAGAGTTTTGATTGTGCCTTTCTGCCTGGAAGAAAGGGGTGGGATAGCTACACATTTAGCATAATCAGACAACTAGGAATATTGCGATATATGAGCTAAACATCCTAAGTTTAGTTTTTGTTTAGTTTCTTTTATATATATGGCACAGTGCTTTTTTCTTTTTGTAAGATAAGTGGTGGAGACTGGCAGATTGAAATTCTTTATCTGATTCAAAATACAAAATAATTACAAAAAGAAAAAAGCACTGTGCCATACATATAAAAGAAACAAAACAAAAACTAAACTTAGGATGTTTAGCTCATATATCACAATATCCCTGATTGTCCGATTTTGGTCTTGAGATTATAATATTTATTTCAGAAAATTACAGATTACATGTGTATGCACACCAAAGAAAATTAGGGAAACAGCCAGATATCCAACTTAAAGAAAACAGATTTTTGTAACTACATCTTGGATCACAGAACCAAACATCTAACCACATTAACTTCAAAAGTGCAGGCCAATGGACATTAAGTTCATGTTTCTGATGCTAATTTCATCCATCTTTTCAGCAGGCTGTGACAGGGGAACGTTAAATGAGACCTAGTCCCCGGAGGGCCGCTCAATCAGCACTCTTAGGCTGGGTGGCTTTTTATCCGCCTGTGTGGGTGTTTGCTGGCTTCCCTCACACTGAGCACACTGCTGACGTATTTGTTTCTTTTGAGGTCGTGAATAGTGCCTGGGGTGGCCAATGGAACAGCAAAAATGGGGGGGGGGGGCAGGGACATTAGAAGGGAAGCAATGTTGAGGAGAGGGACCACCCTCTTAAAGGCAAAACAAAGTCCAAGAGGAGAAAAGGAAGTCATGTTTCATTAGTTGTTCTGTGTTTTCAAAATGCCTCCAACATATGGTGCCCCTAAGACAAAACTGTCATGGAGTTTTCTTACCAAGATCCATTCAGCAGAAGAGTGGTGACTTGCCCAAGGTCATCCAGTGGATTTCCATGGCCAATTGAGGAGTCACCCATTGCTCTTCCAGGGATGTAATTCAGTGCTTACACCATTATACCACACTACATTTGAAGCACTGTTGGTGGGAATTACATCTGTCCAGTTCTCAATCCTAACAAACTAGAAAGGGAGAGACTAGCTAAATGTTACACCAGAAGACTAGTCAGGTTTAAACTCTCAGTCAGCTAACGAAATGGAGAGGGGGAAAGCCTTTATTAGTCATATATTGCTGTCAAGGTTAGATTCACTCATTTAATATAACAGTGGTATTAGAATTGTTCATTAAACGGGATTCTAGAGAGGGAGAAGTAACTTTTGTGTTCTATGACAACTTTTTGTATAAAGCTTCGTTGTTGGAGACCCTCCTAGTACCTTACACAACATATCATAGATGAAGTTTTTTTAAAAAAAAAGACTGATAGGATACAACCTCATTTTGATTGACTGTACTTTGTCTGAAGTTCACTGAATGGTAGATAGATAGATCTGCTTATTGATTAGTTCTCTGACCATACCAACAATAAAAGACAAAAACAGAAATACACAGACAAATTGACACTAATCACTGTGCTAAAACTCCTGTAATCATTAGCTTAAAAAAGTAAAACACAACAAACTTTGATTAAATAATAACTTTGGTAAAATGGAATTAAATTACATGATGAAAGCAGGGGGAGTAGAGTGACAATTGTAAAAGAGTCAGTCAAAGAATGTAGATAAGTTCAGCACCATGACAAGGGAATGGTAAAAAAACAAACAAGTAATTGCTTTATTACATTAAGTAGCTATATTAGACACTTTATACCACATTGGACACTTCAACTATCTTGGGTCCTACTGCCATTTAATGCAATTTGAAACTGCATCATATGGTTGGTTGATATAAGTCTATCTCCCCTGAGTCCCTTTGGGGAGATAGAGCGGAATATAAATAAAGTTTTATAACAACAACAACAACAACTTAACTTGACTTTTATACTCCTTCTCCATCTCCCCGAAGGGATTCAGGACAGCTTACATGGGGCCAAGCCAGTCAACAGTTAAAACATAGCATGTACAAAATGCAATCATCAGTATAAAAACAATATAAGCAACATTAGAACAACACTAAAGAATAAAATAAATGAAACAAGCATCAGAATCAACAACCAGTAGTATAATTCAAGTCCCGTTTTAGGAGGGCGGATGTACAACAATTTAGGTCTAATGGGTAAAGTGCATTAGGCCATATAGCAGCAGAAGGATAAGAGCAATTTCAACTGGATAATTATGACTTTAGATAGAATAGTAGTAAGGTGCAATATAGACCAGGCATAAGCAAACTATGGCCCATGGGCTGGATGTGGCCCATTGGGCTCCTTCCTCCGGCCCCAGAGATCTTGGCACACCCTCCTCTCAGCAGGAGGACGCTGAGAGCAATTTATTAAAAATCCCTGTTCATGTTAACTCTGGCCTAACCCAGTAACATATTAATAAAGGGTTAAAAGTGTATGTGTGGACATCATCAACCACATTATTGTAGGAAAATATTTGGATTATGAAATGGCACAAGATGAAGGAAAAAGGTCTTGCACATTATTTCTGTACATTCCCTTGGGTCAATTATATCAAAATTATTGGAGAATTAGGCCCTTTTCACAGTACAGAGTTATAGCACTTTGCTTCCGCTTTAACTGCTGTGGCAACATCCTATGAAACCCTGGGATTTGTAGTTTAGGTTGAGTACTTAGTATTTTCAGCCAGAGAGCTTGCCAAATGATAAGTTCTAGGATTCCATAAGATGTTGTCATGATCATTAAAATAGAATCATAATGCTGTAATTGCGTGGTGTGAAAAAGTCCTTAAGCAAAACTGAGTCTGGTTTAGTTTGGATTTTATCTCACTAGGACTTATCCCCAGCAAATGGTGAGAGTTTCTAAGAGTAGTAGTCCAACAAAAGATCTGAAAACTCACAGATTATAATCCATAGTCCTACAACAGTGATCTCTAAACTCTAGTCTTCCAGGTAGGTAACTCCCAGCATATTATTTTAAAGGAACATCCTGGCACTCCTTGGGCAACGTCCTTGCAGATGGCCAATTATCTCACACCAGAAGAAAATTTGCAGTTTCTCAAGTCGCTCCTGACACACAAAAAATCATGCAAATAGGGATTATGTTAACAAAAGCTGGCACATGAGCTGTGGAAAGGCATTATTGCAACTGAAAATTATACATTTTTGGAGTGTTAAATTGGTTTAATAATGCTGAGCTGGCCAGTGTGTGAAAGGTGGTAAATGAAACAGGAGCAGAGCTCATTCAGTTTTCATTTTATCACATTCTAAACAGCTGGAAAAGAAAAAGAACTCTGTCTAATTTGAAATTCAAGCACTTATTAAGAGAAAATGGAATCTGACTTTGACTTGACTTTATGTACTTGTGAAGCCGCTGAACAGAAGAAAGCTCTGCTGCATCCCATCAAAGACCTGTCAAATCCAGCATCCTGTTCCTACAGTCCATGGGAAGGACAGGAATTCAATAGTTCCTTCCTATTTCTACTTTTCAGAACTGCTTCTGAAACTGAAAGTAATAGCTAGATCTTGACTCGGTGCCATCGCTAGCCATCTCTTCCATTAATTTGCCTAATCCTCTTTGTAACCATCCAAGTTGATGACCATATTGAGTTATCAAACTTTTATCAGACTCTCAGTGTATCGAGACAGCTCAGTTATAGCACTTTGATGCCACTTTAATTTCCATGGCTTCACTTTATTTCACTCTAGCATTTGCAATTTCATTAGAGTTTTTTTTGGAATCTTTTTATTGAAAGGAATTACAGATCACAATAAAACAGAATGGAAAGTAAAAGGTAATTTGGGGATAGCACAAGGGAAAGGAAAGGAAAGGAAAGGAAAGGGAGGAATG